ACTGGCTGCTGCTCCTGTTCCTACCTGCTGTAACCAGGAGCCTGGCCTGACTCTGCTGTACCATTATCTCTGCCTTAAAAAATGAGTCGTATCTGCTTACACTAGCTTACAAGGCATCAGACCAGGTCCTGTGCAAAGCTCTTTTATTGTCAATCCTCTACATGTTTTACAAGGAATCCATTAGTTTTTGATTTGCAGGTCTCCACAAATCATCTTCATCATAAATACTAAAATTACTGAATCGCTTGTGGTTTTTCTCTCGCCCATCTGGCAGGGCCTGATGCTGTTCTGCCAGGTAACTTTCGAGATGTACGTGTCAACAGCAACAACAACACTTTGGGGGGAAACAAACAAACATAAAAAGATTGAATTAAAATATTAATCTGCAGTCTTTTGCCAGTGCTGTGTAAAATCCCACCCTGCTGATTCACAACAGGTTCAGGAGACTCGGGGGAGCTGGGTACAGATTCTGGTCACACAGTCTCAACTGACAATATTAATTTCTAAGAAGTTTTGCCCTTCAGCCAGACTTTACTGTCCTGCAGCTGCAATGTCCTTACGGAGGTGCTTGCTTCAATGTAATATCAAGCAAAATGGGGTTTTTTTCAACTTCAGGAGGAGGAAATGGAGGGCAGGAGAAGGAAGACTGGTTGGGATAAGCGGGCTGCAGGCACGTCCATTCACTCTTCTCGTATCTTCAGTTCAGTTCAGTTCAGTTCAGTTCAGTTCAGTGTTTTCTACCCAGCAATTGTAGGCTGCACCAAAGGGAGCATAGGTGCAGCTATCATCCCCCTGATGTGGCGTAAGATTAGTAATTCCTCTTTGCTTTATTCATTTGACCCTTAAACCTTTCATGGTTCTAATCAACCTGATTATTTGAAAGATCAGAGAACACAAAATGATCAACAATTAAGGCTCAATTCACCCACCTAAACATAGGTATTTACTGTCACTGAGGTGCCCTAGGACATCCCACCTGACCTCTCCTGCTGGTCCAGAAGAAAACCAGTGT